TGGCAGGACAACAGAAACAGTACAGTGCTTACTATTCCAGAAAGAAGCCAGTAAAAACATAATATATTCCTTTTTAGATCAGTAATAGATCTTCTGTATTATTATCTGCAAAAGGAATGCTTTTGAAGCACCACAGAATGCTTGCACAAGGAAACCAACAAGACAGACTGTTTCCTGACACACACACTGTTATATAGTACCTATCCCAATATCTTCTCAGCTGAGATTCCCTGTAGATAATGCATGAAACCCGAGAAGAAATGCAACAAAGTAACACACAAAGAAATCTGCCTGTTGTTTGGGGTAGGGGAGGGAAAAGGAACAAAAGCTTAAATTATGGTAGTGATATAAATATAGGCCTATATAGCGGGCCTCTATACCTGACGCAACAGAAAGTACTTCCTATGCAGAAATATACAAAACTGCTGCATAAATTTTAATCCAGGCAATTCAAGACTGATCTAGTCTCTCTCTCCCTCTCTCTCTTTCTCTGTGTCTTAGTCAGCAGGACGAAAGTCTACTATGACTAAGGAATCTTTTCGGTTTATATATGCAATATTATATTATTTTTTGTCCTTCAGTGAGACTTTGCTGCTCTTTATCTTATTGGAGAAATGTCACACAGTAGAAGCAGTGTTATTTAAGTCCTGTGTTGTATATTTTACCATACCATCTTTCCTCCCAATATCAGTTCTAGCACTGCATCAAGGTGCTTAGAGCTGGAAATATATATTTAAAAAATTATCACATGGAAGCTTGTAACTGAGTCACAAGAAATTGATTGCTTAATATCATATTGAGCCTCAAGTGAAGCAAAAAAAAAAGGTAACAGTCAAACAGAAAAACTGATTTCTCATTCTACATTGGCTAGAAGTACTGTGACAATGATCAGTAAGGACTGTGAGCTTTCCCAAGCACTAATCCTAGACTAGTGGTCAGAAAGAAGTCCATTTCAGGGAATAAAGTCCCTGAATTCCAGTGATTCAGGGGTTTAGCTTGCACAGGCTTCTAGGACAACACAACTGGCTTTTACTGGGATTTCACAGCCACGAATCTAGTTCCATGAGTGAAAATAAAGGTGACTTTTGTAAAATGATACTGCTAAGATTGCCTCTTCCATAATTCCTGGAACACAGTGGCTACAAAATGAATCTCATTCTACTGATAAGATGCATATCCATGGGATAGTGGACATGCTGCTCTATCCCCCAGCTACACAATCCAGTGGGAAGAATAAAGTATGAAGCCAGGATAAATAATAAAGAGAATAATAATAATTAAAATTATGATGATTAATACTCAGATACTAATTAAAATGATAGTGTGAATAGTAATAAAATGAAACACCGGGATAAATAACCATTTTTACTTTAATTAATAGTCTTTTTCAATACATTTGTGGAGTCTTTGTAACCTCCTATGAAGTGTGTAGTATCGGCCAATAACATTTTGGAAAATGAGGATCTGAGATTGCTCTCTAGTCCCATCACTATAATAGTATGAGCTAGATTGTCTATTTTATTTGCTATGACAATTTCTAAGGTCCCAAATTAAACACATGTAGATCTCCAGTACAGAGAAGCAGTTCTGAAAGTAGAAGGGAAATTTCTCCATTCACTGGAATGTCTTACTTCAGTTGAAAGATCCAAAAAACAATTCTAATTAGTTCTTATGACAGGTGACTGAATACAATAGTCTTGGGTTCTGACCATACATGTACCTCATTATTGTCTTGTTCATTGTGAAAGCTTTGGAGAAAAGCAGCGTAGGACTGCGAGCTCTCTGTTCCTACTGCAGCTGCAAAATTTCTTCTTTTAGAAAGTGTAATGCTGTTAACAAGCCTCATATAAGAAGAATGTGCTCTAGTTGAGCTGGTCTGCAGAGTTAAAGTATATTAGAATGAGCATTAATGAAATCTAGTCCAATAAGGTAGAGGCTCAGCATCTGCCTTCTTGTTTCTAAATGCATTATCATTATACCAGAGGAAGTGTTCCATCTTTGATGTCAGATATTTTTGAAATACTCATCTCCCTTCCCACGCTCTGCTTTATTTTTCAAATACAGCATGCTTTTGAGATCTTTTTCTTGTTCTCATAGAAAGACAGAAACGTGTTATTTGTTAGGAAAGTAAAAGAATTGTGGATAAGCCATTTTGTCAGAGATGTTAGGTAACAACTAAATCTAATCTTTATCTGTTTTATATGTTATGTATCACTGACTTAGGAACAATATTTCTTACTAATACTTTGTAGTTTATGCAGAAAATATGAATCTGAAAATTATGAAGCATTAAGGTTAAAATCTCAGGACATTAAGTGCCATTAAGGGTGGGGGAGGGAGGGGAATCATTCAAAGACCTAAACTGGCCCATAATACATGCATTCTGTCCTTATCATGTACATATTAATTTCTTTTTATGCAAAAGTGTACATGCACCAAGAGAATACACTCCTCTATGCTTCAGAAGTTGTTGAGGGATATAAGAATACAGCTACATCTAAAGATACAAAACCCAGTAAGATCTTATTTATTTGTTTTCACTAGAAGTACCTAGAGAAGAGTGGGATCAGTCCTTGACATGTACTATGCTTAGAGTTCATTGGTCTTTTCTTTCTGAATATAGATAGATTTGTCCTGTATCAGTATCAAAGTTCTCAGTCTAACTCTGAAAGTTTACATGTGCTAGGTTACTGAGAGAGGAAATAATTCATATCTAAACATACATTAGAGACTATGACTAATGAGTTCCTAATCAGGCTGTCTTTGAAACTGATCCAGAGTTGCAACATTTGCAAAAGATTTGCTCTTTTGCTCCTTAGTATCACAGAGAAGAAGCAGGCTATACCAAATCTCTGATCTATATTTGGGCTTCTGGCACACAAAAAGAAACAACCCAGTGTTAGCCGTAATACAGTATATAACTGCAGCTATTCATACAATAACCTGCCTATTGTGGGCAAGTAAATTGCCAGGATAGTATAAGAGTAGTTCTGGCATCATTTAAAATCCTTGGGATTTCCTTGCCCTGACGGCTGGGTCTGGGTCAGTTACAGTATGCAGATCAAGCTGTATAATTGATTTCCTAATAACTGAAGTTAAATCTTCATGCTGATTCCCCTGACAGCTTCCTCCTCTGTCACTGACTAGGAAATGTTGGATAACCACCCTAACCCTCAACCCCCGTCCACAGGTGTGTGAGGTACTCTGGGCTCAGAAGCCATCAATGCGCAAGCTGCGTGAAGCACTACACTTTTTTAACAGAACTAAAAGTCAGATTTCAGCTTTCCCCATGTCTTACCAAGTAAAAGACTCAGGTGAAAGCAAGCATGGTGAGGTTCAGTCCAGTGAACTAGAGATCATGCTGCATGGTCAGAACATTAACAATACTGGTTGCATCTTTACACAACCAGTATTGTTCATGTTCTGACCATGCAGCATGAGTGAGCCTTAGTGAGTGACAGGTTTACTCACCTCTTACCTAGGAGTCTTGCAGAGGAATTCCTTGTCACTAGGCAACCAAACCTCAAAGCGCCTTTTTTTCCGTTTTAGCTCCGTTTCTCTCTAATTGGGATTTAGCCAATTTCATCTAAAAGGTGGAATACTGATTTCAGCCTTGAAGTCCAGGCACCGATCTGTCAGCTGGTTTATCTATTTAGTGAGACTGGCTACAAGAAGTAGATTGACTTACAGTTTGTATCTGGAAGCAACACAAGATAATGTTATTGAGCTATAGGTGATGGGCAAACCACCTGCCACATGATCCGATGCACATGGGCTAACACTTCCTGGACAACAGCATTTGCAGGGTGGTAGCTCAGCTTTAGTCTCCTCCTCCCCCCATGGCTCAAGCAGCAGCCTGCTCTTCACAGGACAGGGTAAAGCTCCCATAATTTCCCCCAGGCTGTTCCCTGAATGAGCAGGGATCCAGCTATCAGGTATCTAGGTATGTGGATACCTGACACATGGAAAATATCGAATTTTAGTGATTTTTTAAAATGAAATCTTTGTAATTTCACAAGGAGGAAGCAACCTTGACCACCTGAAACCTGAGATACTGCTTCTGCCTCCGTTCAAGGGAATTTGCACCATAACAGAGCCTCACAAGAGAGCTGACAGACACCTTACCAGCTAAGAGCTGCCTGCCCAAAGGAATTTTCCATCTCTTGACTCCTCTGTGAAATCCTATGAAGTATGAACTTTCATTTGTACTCAGGATAACTTTTACCATCTTTTCTCTGATGCCTGATGAAGGGTGCTTGTGCCCTAAAACTTGCAATTAAAGATTTTTTTCCTGCAAAAATCTAGTTGGTCTAATAAAAGATATCACCTCTACCACGAGCCCTGGGATCCCGCAGAAACCTGGAGTCTACTTCTGGTTCATGAGCTTCACAAAACGTTTATCTGCACTCGGAGGAAATGAAAAAGGTTACATCCTCATAACTTCAGCCTTGAACGTGTAGCTAGAGGGCTGCCAACTCCATTTGCATCTATTCCCGGAGGTTTCCTCATGACGAAATGACATTAATGACTGATCTGCTGTACGGAGTAGACTTTAGGCCAGGAAGGCAAGTGCAGGTTACTACTGCATTAGAAAACCCACGGGACTACTGTATACATTGGATGTAACATTTACTTGACAGAATGCCCTATCATTTCTCTTGCGGGTGACCCCGGCAGTCTCCTGGAGGCTGATATCTCATTCCCGGAGACACCAGGGCAATGCTGGCGGGTTGGCAACCCGGTGTAGACCCCTGCTCCCCTCAGCAGGGAGCTCTGCTGCAGTCCCCTCCGAGTTCAAGTTGCCTTCAAGCCACATCGTAAGGTGTGCGTGTGTGCTCGCGTGTGCGTGCACGCGGGCGTGTGCACGGGGGCGCGCTTGTGCACATACGTGTGCCCCGGTGCGTGCGTTTGCTCCTTTTGGCCTACTGATGTCGCTCCCCACCCCCTGCTCCTTCCTCTGTCAGTGCTGGCCCCGCCCCGCCCGCCCGCGGCCACGTGACCCGGGCCCAGCCGTCCAAGATGGCGGCGCCCAGAGCTGTGCGCACGCTGCGGCGCGGGGGTGAGTGCGCGCGGGCTCTGCGCTGAGGGAGGGGAGCGGGCCGGGCCGGGCCGGGCCGGGCCGGGGGGAGGCACAGTCACAGTCACGGTCACGCTGCCCCCGAAGCGGCCCTCACACCCCCTTCTTTTCCTGCTCCCCCGAGAGGGACTGCACCGCGCGTGGCAGGGGCGGTGACACAGCAACGCCCCACCCCCGAGAAAGACGCTGACAAACTCAGACAGCAAACCTTTCTGCTCCTGAGGCTGCGTCTCGCACGGGAACAACCTGAGTTTAACTGGAAAGGTAGAGTGCTGTGTGGTCTGCCCGTCGCGGGAGGAAGTGTAATGTCTGCCACAAAATCATGGACCGTGGAGGAAAGACTTTAAGCAACACCGTGGTTTTTCCAAGCAGACGAACATGTGGTCACAGACCAACATTTCCTCACAGGGTTTCTGTAGCTCGAGAGACTTGAGGATTGTATCTACTGCCAACAATTAGAAAATTGTCAGACAGCTTGGAGAGATCTGCAGCGAGCACACACGCACGCGCGCAGCTTGCGATGTGGCTTGAAGGCAACTTGAACTCGGAGGGGACTGCAGCAGAGCTCCCTGCTGAGGGGAGCAGGGGTCTACACCGGGTTGCAATTTTCTAATTGTTGGCAGTAGATACAATCCTCAAGTCTCTCAAGCTACAGAAAGCCAGTGAGGTTATGGTTAAAACATAGTTAAAACTGCCTCAGCCACAGGAACCTTGTCTGCACTGTCCCCTGTTGCTAACACCATCCTAGCCCTTTTACTTGTGAAGCTCCAGAGTAGATAAAGAAGTGTGGTTCTCAACTGTTTCAGACTCAAGATGACCCTCATTAGACTTAAAGTACCTCTCCATAACCTCTGCAAATTGAGCAGCAAGCTGTTTTTAAAATTTATTACAGTGCTCACTTCTTTGCAGAGGGGCCACACAGAGCACAGCCCTAAATCTATAGGCAGAAAAAAAAATCTTCCTTTGGCCTTGGTGATGAAAATGTACTCACATTTTTGAAAGCCTGTTAAATAATCTGTTACATCAACAGAGCATTAATTATAACTGTGAAAAGCATCCTTAAACTCCACTTTGCATGATAGCATAATGTTAATGTATACAGTTACTGTATAACAAAAGTTCAGTCTCTTGTCTCATGCCTGTTGTTCTGCTGTTGACTTCTTTTTGATTTTGTCCAGGAACTTTGAAGTAAGTTTAAAGTTTGAAAATATAAAAGCCTTTTCTTTATAGCTAGCAGCAAGCTTTGTAGGCAAAAGGAGTTTTTGTGGTAAGTGGTGAAGGGTTTTGGTAGTAAAGAAATCCCCCATTGTGCAGTTGAACTCATACCCAGGAAGATTCTCAGTGTTTCTCCTTCAGAATCTAAACCTGAAGAATCTAAGTCCCAACAGCCAAGATTCTCCCTTTGTCACATGTCCTTTGAATCATTGTCTTGCCAGTCCCTCTTTTACTTGGATGTGCCATCTGTGGTGTTCAATACCATGTAGAATCCTTCTGTCCTGAGTCTCAAATGAACTGGGCTTTACTGTAGCAGCTCAGACCACCTTTCCTTAGAATTCAGAGGCTTCTAAAACTGGTAGTGTTTTCCAAGGCTTCTTATCTAAAGCAATGGCTCCCAACCTTTGTAAGACTGAAGGCACCCTTTGCTAGACTCAGAGCACCCTATGAAAAATGCCATCTCTTGGCTGTCACTCATTTTTTTTGGCTACGGAAAAATACTAGAGTGATTCTTCTGTAGCAAAGAACTCAGAAAGATCACAACCATTCAGAAATGTTTTTAACACTATAAAATCATATCTGAAATCTCTGGGTTCATCTTGTGAATCATGTTTAAGTGTTTGCACACCTAACAGTGCTAAAATTGCATGGTACCCTGCAGCACCCTTACAAAGATCTCATAGCACCCCAGGGTGCTATGGTACACTTTCATTGGGAATCAGTGATCTAATGTGTCAAGCTCTTGTTTCAAGAATTGCGTTTGTGTGACGGACCTCTAGAGCTGTTTTGCCTTGGGTTTTGCTTTTTCTTTAGACTGCTTACAAATGTGAAAAAACCCCAGCGTTCTACTTTCAGCTTGGTGCGCCCCTACACCAAGTACAGCTCATGCCCAGAAGATGTATAATGTCAGTTTGACCCAGCTCACCCAATGTCTGTATAGATCACGTGCTTCAGCTGGGCTTTTTGGTGCTTTTATCTAATAGCTGATTGAATCAGCTATTTGATATAAAAGAACCAAAGAGCTCCACTGAAGCACATGATCTATACAGACTTTGGGCAAGTTAGGTCAAACTGACGTGCTTCTCTTTGGTTTTGGTTTGTTTTTTTTCCCCACATCTGTCAGCGGCCTCTGTGATCTAAACTTATATCTGTATCCATGTCTATTCCAAGTTATTAATTTTATGTTGGTAAGGTATCATACAGCCCTTGAGAGCTTCTGTCTTATTCATTTTCCTTCTCAGTTCTGCATTTCCAGAAGTTTAAAAAGCAAAATCACAAAGGAGTTCATAAAGGGTTGATGAGGCTAAATCAAATTTTCCCTGAATTGGACAGTGCAGTAATTTAATTTTAAAATACTAAAAGATGGAAAGAATTGAAATTAGATTGCTGTTGATCTAAGAAAACCCATTCCACCTAAACTGAGTATAAATTACCTTTTTGTCAGTGTGTCTTAGTGATATAATTTCATATTTTTTGAACATTTTAATGTATGATTAAGAAGAGTGTTCTCAATGATGGAATCATTTCTAGAGACTGAGAAAATAAGCATATCTGAAAACCTTGGGGGTGGGAAATTTGCAAGTTGGGTAAATACCCTGTGTTGGGTATTAAAGGGTTTTTGGCTAACTTTAGAAAAATCTATGTTTATTAGGTAAAAAGAAGGTGGATTATTTTGCTAAAATAACTGTTTTGTGTTCTAAAAGAAAGTGTGATGGGGAACTTAATCTAATAGATCATTCTTTACTGTTTGCAGACTTGCATTTCAAAATATGATTCAATACCAAGTGCAACAGAACCACTTAAGAATATGAGTAATCTGCATGAATGGAGTTTGGGCAGAGCTGTGTTAAATGTGCTGTTAAAAGTATTCAAAAGAACTATATTCAAAAGTATTCTTGCAAATAGGCTAAACTCAATTTTGCTGCAACCATGTTTGAACCATATTTAAGGCGAGTTTTGCAGTCAGCGAAGAGGAGACCTAATTGTATTTATCATTTTGAAAAGGAAAATTAAGAGACAGCCAAAACATTGAAACATAAAAATGGCATGCTGAGCTTGCACAGTATGCATTTACACATTAATATGGATTATATGATGTTACATTGGCTTCTAGGTGATCTAATTGCACATTGTGACAGTTTTCAAGTGTTAAAAATAATTGCACCGGTGACATTCCATTGCTAATAAAAAAATAAAATCAAGGAATTACAAAAACCTACCTACATAAAGCAAACACAATCCAGAAGGGTCTATGACATAACAGTCCTCTTGTGGAAACTGATTTACTGATTGTAGACATATAAACCATTATAATGAAGAAGTTCCTCCATCTTTTGTGAGCATATTTCTGTCTTCAGAACTATGTAGTTGCTGGAAATATATTTACTTGGAAATTAAGTGAGAGTCCAAAATCTAATGGTCATAATCATGTGTGACTTCCTTACTCATGACATATTGAAGTACAAAAAAAAGATAAGATTCTACTTTTAAATGGTTCCTTTACCATGGACCATGATAAGTGCTTCTGCTGTGTCTTGTATTGTTTCTTTGTTTCTGATAATGAAACAAGACTCTAGAATATTGATGCTGCAAATAATAGGACATACTTTCAAAATTACATAATTGCAAATCTGTACCTGCGTGTATATGTCCAGAATATGTTTATGTAACCATCCACCAGGCTTGTGTATAATGTGTAATTTCTTGTATATTTTGGCTATTGCTTGTACATTTGGTAGCTAAGTATGCATTTGGATACTGTATTGAACTAGAATACTGGAGCAGTATTTGTCATTCCTAAAAAATAGTGATGAAGCCTGACCTCACCAATTATTTTGGAATTGCCCTGCCTGCATGACTTGAGAGTTGTATAACAAACATGTCTGTAGTAAACCAAGTGCCTGTTTAATATCTGTGGAAAAAAAAGACATTTTAGAAAGGTTTGAGTTTTTCAGATCATGAACGGCGCATGCCCCTGGCGGCTGGGGGAGCATGGCTATGCTGGCGACAGCAGGAGCACAGTGGCAGGAGCCTGACAGCGGTAAGCGCAGAGCTTCTGCAGTGCTGTTGGGGGTGAGGGGTGGGGGTGGCGAGCACCAACCGGGGTCGGTGACCACCTGCATGCGTGGCAGCAGCCAGGGGCGATCGTGGACCGCTCGCAAGCGTCACCGGCAGTGTTGGCAGTGGGGTGGTGAGCAGCAACCGCCCGCAGGCACCATTGATAGCATCAACAATGCCTTCTTGCAGGGGGTGCACTGCCATGCTCAGTGGGTGCACGTGCACCCGCATGCACCCCCTACACATCACCCCTGTTTCGGATTATTGATTTTTTTTAGTATTCATTTAGTATTATTTTATTATTCTTTATTTATTTTTGATCAAGCAAGGCTTCCTTAGTACCCCAAGTTAATCAGTAACATTTTTTTTCTGGGAGAAAGAAAACAAATAGGAAATTCATGTTGTTGGCAAGTTGAAAAAAAATAGTGTTTTGATGCATAGACGAGTACCTCAGAATTTGGTTTGGAGCAAGTGCTGAATGTCTTAGAGGACAAGCTGATAATTTCTTTAAGTTCCTATGTTTGCCCCTCTGAGAAGTTTGAATCAGATTTAATATTCTTGTCCCTGGCCCTGGACTGATTATTGCTTGTCCTATGTCCCAGCCTAAAGTGATTTTAGTAAAAAATTACATACTTCTAAGGAAAAAGAAAATGTTTTCTGGTAGGATGATCTTCAATGAAAAACTCAATCATTTGAAACTGCACAGAGGG